CCCAGACCCCCCAATAAAGAAAAACTGCACGTTTCAGAGTGGCCTTTTATTGTGGCCATTCTAAGGCACACCTGTGCAATAATCATGCTGTCTAATCAGCATCTTGATATGCCACACCTGTGAGGTGGGATGGATTATCTCGGCAAAGGAGAAGTGCTCACTATCACAGATTTTTTCAAATTTGCGAACAATATTTGAGAGAAATGGTTATTTTGTGTATATAGAAAATGTTTTAGATCTTTGAGTTCATCTCATGAAAAATGGGAGCAAAAACAAAAGTGTTGCGTTTATATTTTTGTTCAGTGTAATAAGTGTCACGATCCGTCACGATTTTATTTTGTATTTACGTGCATTTCCTGTTTGGAAAGTGGGACTGTACTGATAGTGGTGATTTTATTTTGGAATTCTTAGCGTGCACTTCCTGTCCTGAGAGTGGAGGTGTCCTGAGAGTGGAGGTCTGCACCGGAACTGTCCTGAGAGTGGAGGTCTGCAGGCAGACCCCTCTCGTTTTGTTTGTATATAGGGAACAGCAGAGTTCTAATGCTGCGTTCACACCAGACGCGATGCAATGTTTGGGGACGGCGCGATTACATGTAAAGTCAATGCAGAGACGTGGAAAGACGCGAATTCGCTCCGACGGCGAGCATGAAGCAGTGGACGCGGCGTGAATCACGCGATTGAGGAGATTCTTTCAACTCGAGCGTCAAATTCACGTGACGCGTTCTCGCGGAAGCCAATCAGCGGTGAGGATCTCAGCCTGCCGTCACTGATGTTCAACCAGCAAACATCAGCCGTTAGCTGTTAGCAGTTAGCACACAGAGATCACAGCTCCTCATATCTGTTCAGAAACTGGACAAAAGTTAAACAAGTACAAACCACAGACTGTCTGTGTCATGGCGAATTTATTTATGGTTTATTTATGTCTGTATAGGTCGTTGTTATGAGTGTGGAATGAGCATATACAACGTTAGCTTAGCCTGGTCGACCCAATCTCCATTCAGAAAACAAGCATTTAAAAGGTTTTTTGCCTGCCGTCTTGTCTGCAGACTTGTCGAGCATTAATTCATGGTTTTTACTAACCGGTATCAGTATGTTGTTACTTCGGCATCATTTAGAAACATGTATTACAATTAAATCACGGTAAAATATGTTCATTTTGTTGTAGTTGTAGCTCCTGAGCCATTGCGTCTTGTTTGAATGATGCGAGTAAACACAGCTGGCAGCCGTGGTGAAACTCGAGCGTTTAGAGGGAAGCGAATATTCGCATTGCGTCCGGTGTGAACGCACCATTATACAACAGCGATGCGATAGGAGCGATTAGAGCGAAGCGAATATTCGCATCGCGTCCGGTGTGAACGCACCATTAGACTAGAGCAGTGCTTCTCAAAGTGTGGTCCGCGGACCACTGGTGGTCCGTGAGCGCCCCCTAGTGGTCCGTGAGTATATTGGTAACATTTCACATTTGAAATAAATAAATACATTTAAGTTTTCCGCACTCTCGCGGGAATATCTCCGCAATGGAGCGAGCTTAAGTTTCATTCTCTTCAATTATTTTGATTGCATGATATAGCCCAGCGCAACACCTTCATCACACATGTTGCCACTTGTTTGTACCATTTTCAGGCGATTTGTAATCTGTTCTAGAAAAATGATGTGATTTTGGATATGTGTGGAGTTAGGTGGTCCGCGACTGTTTTTGTATTGGTTAAGTGGTCCTTAGTATGAAAAGGTTTGAGAAACACTGGACTAGAGCGATGGGATAGGAGTGATTAGAGCGAAGCGAATATTCGCAGCATAAGTGCAACAGAGGCTCGTGATGCACAGCATGAAGTGATACGTTGCCCACGAGTCAGATGCCGTTGGAATAACCATCAAGTAATAACCATGTGTCTCCATGTATGTTAATGTGTTGTGCTTTTAAACAAACTTGTTACTGTTTTATGAAAACTGTTTTGAAATAATCAAATTTTAATAAAATGTATTTAACATGTCCATAAGGTTCCCTTTTTTAAATGTATTTGTTTAATCCCCAATGTTTCAATGCTATCAAATATGTAAAGGGTTGGATTGAAATCAGGAAGAGTTTGTCGTATATATAGGTTCCGGCAACTCAATTGTGTTTTATAATTTAGCATTTTGCTTCTGGCGACTGCTTCTGGCGATTAGATTTATGCATGTGGATATTATCCGGCTGAACAAAACGTGATCCGCCTCTTAAATGTGTGTCAACCACAGACCTTATTTTGAGCTATTTTCCAAAATCCTATGGAGAAATTGCATTGGTTTTTGTCGAAGGAACCGGAAGGAGTTTACTTCCGGGTTTTAGGATGCGTCACTGTGTCACTGTATGCTCTTCTGGATGAATGGAATGAATATTCCCACAGACACACTCCAAAATGTTGTTGAAAGCCTTCCCAGAAGAGTGGAAGCTGTTGTAGCTGCAAAGGGGGGGACCAACTTCATATTAATGCCTGGGAATTTGGAATGGGATGTCATATAAGCTCCTGTACAGGTGTAATGTGTAGGTGGCCCAATATTTTTGTCTATATAGTGTATTTCCATATGTTTGTGGTGATGATTCATACTGTAGAGGACAAAGTACAGCAACTTTGATTAAGATAGTCAAATGGTTTCCATTCATTCTGTAGAATGTAGGGTATTCGTGTGTCTATGTACAGAAAATATATATAATATTACAGATATCCATGGCCTTTGAATCTGTCAATACATTTCATTTTATAACTTCCAGTGTGTGTGTATGTGTATTTACTGTATGTGTGTTACTTGCTGATGCATGCAGGTGCCGAGAGAGAGAGAGAGTCAATATCTGCTTAACAAGAATGTCATCGAGGACAAAAGCTGACCTTTAATTAATTTGTAGCATTGCTCATTCTCTCTCCACACTAAATGTACTTTAACAGATGCAGCTCAGTCAAGGAGAAAATGGAAAGTTAATAGAAAACTAATTTGATTGTGAGTGAGGGCATGTGTTTGTTGTGTGTTATTAATCACAGTTGTTGGCACTGACAACTTCACCGTCGGTAAGACTTTTCATTATCAGATTAAGCCAACTCTAAGTATTAGAGACACTTCAATCGGCAAAAAACAATCCATGAGGAATATTTTGAGTTACCAAGCAACGGCAATGACACTAATTGCTTCAGTAATTCTGCAGGAACGTATGCCTTGGCAGCAGGTATTGATTTAAGCCTGCTTAGCTTATAATGTCATTATAAAAAAGATGCATGGGTTATTTGGTTGAAAGGTGCAATAACCTTTATTGTATTTTCTCTTGTTAGAATTTGCAGAGAGTTTTCTAAAGTCAGACCATGTCTTTGGCTTGGACACTAGACATTTCTAATGAGGTTTGGCTAGGCTACGTATATGTTCTGTTTAGTTGGTTTTTTGTTTCTCAGCAGGATTCTTGGAAAACTACAGGCTCGATTTTCACGAATATTGGTGGAAGGGTTTAGTTTGAGCCAAGAAGAAACAATTAACAAGTTGGACCATATCTCTATGAGGGGATGGATAGACAGATTGTTTTAATTTTCATTAACATTGCGAGAAAGGGCATGTTCTTTGCGTCATGACTGAAAGAACGAGATCGCGGATACAAGCGGCCGAGATGGGTTTTCTCCGCAGGGTGGCTGGTGTCTCCCTTAGGGATAAGGTGAGAAGTTCAGTCATCAGGGAGGGACTCGGAGTTGAGCCGCTCCTCCTTCGCGTCGAAAGGAGCCAGTTGAGGTGGTTCGGGCACCTAGTTAGGATGCCACCTGGGCGCCTCCCTAGGGAGGTGTTCCAGGCACGTCCAGCTGGGAAGAGACCAAGGGGTAGACCTATGACCAGGTGGAGGGATTATATCTCTTCGCTGGCCTGGGAGCGCCTTGGGATCCCCCAGTCAGAGCTGGTTGATGTCGCCAGGGAAAAGAAAGTTTGGGGCTCTCTGCTGGAACTGCTACCCCCGCGACCCGACCACGGATAAGCAGGAGAAGATGGATGGATGGATGGATGGATGCAAGGTCTGCTAAGTATTCCTTCAACGTATTACAATGACGTAGCACTGTCATGCACAGTCAAATCTGGCAGTAAGCTGACCCATGATTGTGAGGAAACTCTGCAAAAATACAGCTGTGAAAATATGAAGGGAACCTAAATCAGTTTTTTTAAATCTGATTAAGCCAAGGCAATTTCCACAGGTAAAGAATAATCTGAACCATGACTCCAAGCTGCTTCGCAATTTAATGGCTTCTTCTTTCGGCTATGCTTAAGTTTTCCGTTTTCATGAAAATTGGGCAGGTATATACTGCTCACAAATAGAGAAACAAACCTACAACCAATCCGTGAACAGGACATAACCTTTTGACTGGAGTTACAATGGTTGCAATACTCAATAAAAGACAGTTCTCTAAATGTTTCAATGTTTCTCTTCTTATCAAATTACCCAGGATGGGAATATATGGAAAACTTGGCTACTGATTCCTGTAACTTGTCTGTTGGTCATGTCACCCTGACCCTACAGGTCAAAGCGGTCTTCCAAGAGCCTCTCAATAAAATACGCCATTTTGTTGACTCACAGGAAAGTCAGAATGCAGCCTTTTAGGAGATTTCTATACTAGAGTTTTAAAACGTAGGATTTCTAGGTCTTTGACATTGATTTTGACATTTTCTTTTATGTTTCTCCAGAGTAGATGGAGAAAACAATTAATATCTTTATTTATCAGTATAAACCGATATTTATTTCCCCTACAAACCAGATACTGTAGGAAATAAATACGAGATACATTTATGTTTTGTACTTCAGATGAAACTCTAAACCAGATGTTAGGCTTGTCTATTAACAGACTAAAGGACCTGCAACATTGGAAATCAATCGAAGGACGACTTGGACTTTTGTTCTGTCTCTCCTTCCTTTCTTTTTCCTTCTTGGGTCAAAGCACAACAATTTATTTAATTGACAGAAACAATCAAACTGAAAATGGGAGAGAAATGGAGGTGCTGACCTAGACCACCAGCTGCGATGACCCTTCCTCCCAGGCATCCTGCCACAAAGTCCGCCCTCTTCTCCCTCATCCTGGATGTTCGGATGGGTTTGATCCAGATACCTGCCAAAGATGAGAGGACATACTGTCATTCTTGTTGCAACAGGTCACTCAACCACAACAGCAAATTAAATTCATCATTGGCTAAGCATTTAAAGGAACACACAAACGAGAAATCAATACACCAATATTTAACTGTTAAACATTTAATCTCAAATATATGGGCATTTATTGGTTGGGTTCAGGCTTTTTCTCCAGATGCTTGAGCAAAAATGTGATCTCGTTCAATTCTCTGTTTTTCATAAGGTCGTGCTCTCAGTCTGTGCTATAGTTAATCCTATTTGGCCTATTTATTAGAGATTATTGGTTTTACAAAAAACTGAGCCTATCAAACAAAACAATATAAGTGATACTAAAATATTCTCAACTTGATATGCTATATTCATGAGAAAATGAAAAAAGTAAGAAAGATACATGAAAAATGTCGTCTAGTCTAGTAGAATGTTTTCTCAAAGTTTGAAGCATAACAGTGTAGGAGCTATTACTGAAGCATCAAGCCCTCCATTCATTGGAATCAATGGGCACAAACCATTGAAACAAAATACAAATAGTCCAGGGCTAGGGTTATTCACAGTGTTCAGAAATGTGATGGTTAACACAAGCAAGCTTAAAGTTAAGTTCACACAGAATGGAATGAACTAGTTCCCATCCTATTTTTTTATATTTTTTTAGTGAAGTAGTTTACATTCATATATTCCCAAGTATTTTTAAATGTACATTCTTTTTTAAGAAGAAAGCATTTTCTGTTAACTGGACACCCCAAAACAAAAGCCAGACTGACTCATTAAGTAAATAAATTGTTCAGTTAGTTGATAAACGTTTGGTTTACTTTTTGAGACTTAGATGAGAAGCTCAATACCACTCATGTCTGTGAAAGGTCTTCTCACTTCTCACAGGCTCTTTGAAAAAAGTGTGGTTCCCAAAATGCATTAGTTATGTGATTTGCTAGATTTGCTAGAAGTTTCAGCAGATTTGACTCCAAAACTGCAATCCTTGCTTTGCCTATAGTAGCCCTTGTTCTTAGAAATCACCTAAAACATCAACATTTAAGAATAACAAAGGATTTCACTGCTAGACAAAGGGAGAGAGCACAGACGTTGAAAGGAAATGGAGAAGGAGAGGAACAAATAAAAGTGTGCAGTGTAGATGGATCTGTATTTGACAGCATAACAAGCTCTGCCTCAGGGTGCCTTCACTCCCTGCCTCACCCTCCCTCGTTCCATAGATTGAAACACACTACCTAACATTAGGTTCAAGTTCAATAAGTTCAACTTTCCAACGTTTTTTCTTCTCTGCAAAACTCCTTGGCAAGGAAAAGGAAATTCAGGAATGTGAAACAAAATACACCGTAGCACAACCATTACAAATCTGCAACCTAGACATAATGCTAATTCATGCAAAACGCTGCAAATGAGCTGCAAAGAACCAACCAGTGTTCATTCTGGTAGTTTTTGTCACGCAATGCTGCAGCGCACCAGCTTAAAATTGGGTTTTTTCACTTGTGTCTGAAAAGTATGGATTTTTGTAAAAAGAAAAGGCACTTCCCCATCATCCAAAGTGGAATTGATTCCTGAAAAACACTGAGTATAGTTGAAATGACTATTTGGACTTCGAGCTTAATGCTAACTATCTTACTTTATGGTGTAAGCATGCTAACATTAGATGATGATGATGATGATGATGATGATGTATTGTCATTACATAGTACAGGTACTAGTAACGAAACGGTTTCTCTGCATTTGACCCATCCTAGTGTTAGGAGCAGTGGGTTGCCATTATGTACGGCGCCCGGTGGGCAGTGTAGGGAACGGTGCCTTGCTCAGGGACACCTCGGTAGCACATGGTCTTTCCGGGACTTGAACCTGTGTCTTGCCAGTTGCCAAGCCAAGTCCCTAAGGACTTTGCCACCACCGCCCTCAGGTTATGAGAACGAAAATAGCTTGTCATAAAAAAAAGATACAAATATATTCAAACTTGCCAACAAATACAATAGGTCTCACCTTCCATCTTCCATCTGTCAATGGTGAACAAGTGAAATGCTATATTAAAGACATGTTTCTTTAAATAAGCACTGAAATAAAGTACAGCTGAGTTTGACTGGATGTTTTTGAAGGTATTTGATCTTAAAGCAAAATGTTGGACAAATATTAAAGGTTGACCTCATGATAGCTCTAGAGGAAAAGTCAGTGGATCACCAAAATGATCAGAATTCATCCTGAGGGAGACATGAATGTCAGAACAAAATGTCATGGCTATCCATCAAACGTTTCCCTCAAAAGCACAAATGTCAACTTTATGGTGGCAAACCCCCCGTGCTGTAAGAATTCAGTTATTGATTTGGACAAAAGTGTGAAATGAATGTAATATAATACAATACATTGTGTGTCTAAATCTGAAGCTCAAGGCTTTAAAGGAGTCATATTAATCCTTTTGGGGTTTTCCCATTCCTGTAGGTTTTAGTGCATGTAAATAGTCGGCAAAGGCTAAAATCCTTTGTTCCCTCCAGAGGGAGTTTATGTCCCCCAAACTCTGCCCGCCCCCCCTGCCTGAAACTCCTCAATTAGACTTGTTTGTTTACTTTCGTAACATAATGAAATCACTATGAAAATCAACTCGAAATGCGGCGCAGCTTTTGCGGGCTTCACGTAACGCCCATATTTGCCTATACATAGTCAAAGAAACGATACATAGTCAAAGAAACGCCCGTATTAATATTCATTTTGACTGACTGCATGAAGAAGATTGCAGGAAATGACGACAGAACAGCTAAAAAGACATTTCACACCATGTCAGATTTTGGTTCTTTTGGGGAGGTCGAGATAAATCATATTGTTTGGTGGATGCAGTTTGAACCAGAGTAGCAGCATGGAGATCTGATCATCACCAAAATAAATAATTAAGTTAATGAAAAAATACACCTTCCTCAGTAAAGCCCCTGTCACACTGTCCCGAAATTGACACCCGATGGACACACGATAAAGGAAATGTTCAAATTTGGCTGTGATCGTGGCAACATCGGGCCATTCGTGAGGGCATCTAAGCCATCGTATGACCGCTGGTGGAGTTTCTCAGGCTCCGGCAGCAACTTCGTGAGCGGCAACTCAAATCGTGTCATCTTCGTATTATCATCGGTGCATTCACCCTCACTCTGATCGGGGCGAATGCCCGATGGCACCGATGATAACAAGATGCCCTCACGATGGCCTTACGAAGGGCAAAATTGACACACGAATTCAACACGAAAATGAACCTTCGCAAGGTCCTTCGACAATTTTTTGGCATGCCAAAGATTTTGGCACCGCTCACGAAGTTGCTGCAAAGCAGCAACTTCGTGAGCGGTGCCAAAATCCTGAGAAAAAAGCCTGAGAAACTCCACCAGCGGTCATACGATGGCTTAAGATGCCCTCACGAATGGCCCGATGTTGCCACGATCACAGCCGAATTTGAACATTTCCTTTATCATGTGTCCATCGGGTTGTTTTATTGCACAACAAAATCATGTAAACATATTATGTAAATAACCCAATTTGTGTTCTGTGAAACTAAAAAGGATATAATATATTATTTTGAAGGAGAGTTGACAGGAAGTTGTTGTTGCTATGGAAACAACATTACGGAGAAAACGTAATATATTCTACATATAAAGACGGATAAAGTAAAGAACAAAGTCTGAAGATATCAGTGCAGTATCATAGTACTTTAACATAATTGTTTGTGTTACTTTTGTTGCAGTTGTATGTCTTAAATGTAATGTAAATGTTGCCTTCGTGTGTGGTTCGGGGCCATCTTCGTGCGAAATTCACAATTCCATATTCGTGTGTCCATCGGGAGTCAATTTCGAGACAGTGTGACAGGGGCTTTAGAAAGTGTCGGGAGGATCCCTGCGGATTGGAGTAAATTAATTTGAATTTTTTTATTTGGTGGTTTGTGTTCCAGCTGTCAATCAGCTGTGTGCAGCGTCTCCACTGCAGCCCGTCTTAACCCCCCCCCCCCGCAGCAACTATATCCCCACTTAAATTAAATAAAACAAATGTGTTGTGTTATATCAGCTGCCAAATCTACCAAATATATGGTGTTCTTAGTTTCCATACCACCTGTGTTTTATGAGCGACTTCTCAAGTCTTAGCAAACGGCATAACACACGATTAAACGTGATAGTATATAAAACCATGCTCGTATCTATACAACCTATAGAAAAGCAAAACGGCCTCAGTTTAGACGTAATTCTGTCCTCCTGCTTACCGCATCATTTATGAGAAAACATTTCATAACATTAACACAACATATTCGAGGTGGTTTTAAATAACATTTCCGTATTTATTTATTTCTCCAAGTTATGTTTTTGTGTGCAGTGAGGAGTCTCAAACAGGCGTTTGTTTAATCATTTTAAGATTGGCTTTAAATATGCAAATTAATTCTTCATATATGATACATGAGAGGTAACATTTTATTTATGGTATTATTTCCACATATTCCTCTCCATTCTTCCTTCTGCCAACGGTGTCGCATAAGCGCGCCACATAAGCGCATAGGTGCACCGCATTTTCGGCTCAGTTGAGGCCCCCTCCGCAAGGTGAGGCCCCACGCAGTCGGCATGATCGGCCTGTAGGGAGGGACGGCCCTGCACACACACACACACTGGCTGTGATGGTATGAGTTGGTGAGTTGAGTGACGTGTGGGGCAGACATGTGTCTGGTGGACTCAGCTGGAGGAGAAGAGAGTGTGTTATTTAAAGCTCTGAATCAATCCCCTTCTTTCTCTTGTTTCACTCTCCCAGACATCACCACTCCACTGTGGTCCCGTCCCCGAGCTCAATATAAAAAGGCATACGAGTAAAAAATCCACACACACACATATTGTGACACAGGCCTTCGAACAGATTCACATGCACGCAAAGAGACCGAAGAATATTCTAATATGCAGAGACACATATGAACAATCTTTCTTATGCATACAGTACGAAAACATATATTTCTTACACACACACACCTTTCATTTGCCC